TGATCAACAGGATTATACGAGAAGGTTTATTTCTTTCCCATACAATGAGCTACCATCATGAGCTAATTCTGATTCTTCAATCTTTTTCAAGTACCAAATTTGATATGGTTGATAGAATTTTTCTGATTCTTCAATCTTTTTCAAGTACCAAATTTAATATGGCTGATAGAATTTTTCTGATTCTTCAGTCTTTTGCAAATACCAAATTTGATATGATTGATAGAATTTTTCCCTTTCATGCCATCCAATGGTGCTAGCAATCCCAAAAGTGAAATATTTGCTCCATTTGTAATTTTTTTATTACTTTTGAGAGCATTGCCTTAATCATCTCTAGAAAATATTTCTGAAAACTTTGAAGAACAACTTGATTAGTTATTCCCCAGTCAATTTTTTCAGAAACCTTTCATTATTGGGTATCTAAGAATAATGTTGTTTTTGAAATATCATCTTGTAAATTAATCTTGTTAATTGACTTGAAAATAATTTGTTTAATTCCTTTTTAATGGTCTTCTACATTATCTTTAATGAGTCCAAAAATTTCATAGGGAAGAATTGTTCTTACTTTTTCAAAATGACAAATTCTTCTAATTATTTCAAAAGAAGGATCTAAATATTCATGGTTCATGAATTTAAAAATTTGAAGAAAAGTACTTATTTTTTTAAAATTTAAAATCTTGATCCCATTTGTTTAATAAGTTGGAAACAAGGTTTGAGTTTAGTCAAACTAAAGATATGTCCAGACTCAATAAACGCAAAGAGTGATCTACCTAAACCCCCGCCCAAGCCAAAGTTCATCTCAAAAAAAAGGCTATGTTTCGGTTGTGAAAAGACAAAATTTCTTAGGTTGTCCTAAACTAACATATTGCACCACAACAATTTTACATTCACCAAATTTTGACTTACCCGAATTGTCCAAATTTATGCATACAGGTTGTTCGGTCAGTCATTTAGGCAAATGTCGGATGATAAGGTTGACTGTCGCAATTGACAAGAGTGACAATTGTAATTGACAAGATTGGCGGCGGTCATCCAACTGGTCGCTCGGCGTAGCCCAGCTTATGTAATTCAGACAATTCAAACAAACCCCAATTCGATAAATCAGTCATTTTTCATTGCACTATTTGCAAATAAAAATGTAAAAATATCCCAAAAAATTGCAGACATAAAACATGTTAAGAAAATTAGTTTGAGTTAATGTGAAAAAAAGTAGAATGTTTTACGTTACAATATAGTGTTTACCATATATATTTTACATGTATTAATAGAATTCGAGTTGCTTAGGTAGTGAGAGCACCTACCCAAGTCAAGGCCAATTTAGCAAACTTTAGCCCCAACCTTGACCAAATTTCAAATTATACTGCCTAAGCCCAAAATTTTAGCACATTAGAGAGAGTCCCGGCCCGCCCAAGTTGCACCCCCAGTGTAATAGGGAAGAGCCTTGGGACAAGGGAATGAGAGAGACCTAGATAGAGGATCCTCAACCTCCATTATGGGCATTCTAAGGATTGAGTCTCTGAAGGTCAACTAGAGCTCACCAAATATGCAGCATTAGTATTGCCTGGGCCCAGAGTTGGGTGGGTTACCTAATAAAAAGAAAAGCAAGTCAAAGAAGAACAAAGAAAATGCTACCTAGAAAGCTGGAAAATTGTTAAAAGTAGGGGTGAACATGGTCCAGATTGGACCGGATTGAGATAAAACCAAGACCAATCCATTATCTACGGTTTCTGAAAAATTGAAACCAATCCAATCCGTTTAAATCGTGGAACCAATCCGAACCAATCAATTTAAACACGGATTAGATCGATTTAAGACCACGGATTTACATAATTAAATAAAAAAATATATATATAACACTTTAATTTCATAAAAATATAAATATAGCACCATATTAATTTCACAATAACATTTCTTTTCATAATAGCGACATACTGTTCTACAATTTAAACAACCATAAGAAAACTAGTTCCACCATAAGTATTTAGACTATTACAAATTAACATTAAAAACTAGCAAACAAAAATAATAAAAGAAGATACTATGCGAGTTTAGGTTTGGATTTAAGTTCTATATAAAATAAGAGAAGATACTATGCAGAAGGGTGTATAATAAAAATATAGACTATTTGTATATGGTCCGAATCGATTCTAATCCAGAACTGTGAGGTTCAATTCGGAACTAATCCGTGAACTACGGATTTTTAATTTTTCAATCCGGAATCGGGCCACGGATTCAAAAAATCAATCCAAACCTATTGGATTGGACTGAACTGGATCGGATTACGGATTTTATAGATTCCTTGCTCGGCCCTAGTTAAAAGCAACCCATTATGGAAGTTCATCAAGGGCATATATGCTTTCCAGCATTGGAAATGCACAAAATTCTCCAATATCTGTGAATGCATGAAGCTAGTTGATCAGCAGATTGATATATTTAACTAGATCAATGCAGATACTTTTGGACAAGTGGACAACTTTACAGAGCTACTCATACTATCTGCCGCAATGTTACCAATACTAAAATTACAACTAGCACTTCGCACTGATTGTGAGATCAAATAGAAGTCTGATCATGAGTGGAGTGATTAGTGATGCTGAAATCATGACAAGATCATTGTCATAAACTTTCATAACTAGAAACAATTACCTCAAGGAGCCTGATTAAAGAACATGCTCACTACTTTCTCAGACAGGAATGTGAACCTCTTACTCCATTCAAAACCAGCAGGGTCTTATGCTTGCAATGTATACTAAGGATAGGGTCGAAAAATGAGGCGAAGTTTGCGATCTTCAACATCAAAATGCAGAATAACTTTGTTGATTCTTTGGAATGGATCCAAGCATTGATAACATATAAACAAAACAGCTTAAAAGCATTGACGGAAGCTACACCCATAAACAAGAATCATGCATAAGATAACACGGATTATATAAGCCAATGTCCTAAATGAATTGCCTCATAGATTAGATAATACCATGATGCGACACAACTTAGTGCTATGTACCTCGGATCATGCTCTTTCACCAAGAGGTATTGGCTACAACCTGATCTCCCTAGTGGGAAAAATGTATCCCCCCCCCCAAAAAAAAACCCAAGGTAAACAGTATGAGATGATGTAACCAGGGGCCTTCAATGCAATCCAAGCTAAATCTTCAAAGTTGAATGTTAATCCATAGTTCATCAAAAAATAAAACAAAAACCAAATGAGAAGAGAAATTATTGAAAATATAGATCACAAATCCATTCAGAAAATTTTTGAACACCTAGGAATGACCTGTAGTAAGAGTGTTGAATGCACTCGTGGTTGCAAAATCAACATAACATGCCAATCCATATTGGTCTCGTTTGGGAAGTTGGCTATTTTAGTAGGTTATTTTAATTTTTGGTTATTTTAGTAGGCGAAACCCAAGGTAAACAGTATGAGATGATGTAACCAGGGGCCTTCAATGCAATCCAAGCTAAATCTTCAAAGTTGAATGTTAATCCATAGTTCATCAAAAATAAAACAAAAACCAAATGAGAAGAGAAATTATTGAAAATATAGATCACAAATCCATTCAGAAAATTTTTGAACACTTAGGAATGACCTGTAGTAAGAGTGTTGAATGCACTCATTGTTGCCAAATCAACATAACATGCCAATCCATATTGGTCTCGTTTGGGAAGTTGGCTATTTTAGTAGGTTATTTTAGTTTTTGGTTATTTTAGTAGGCGTAAAATGCTTCAAAACTCGAAATTTTCGAAGCTCGAGAGGGCCAATTCCAAAACGACGTCGTTTTGGTTTTTTTTTTTTTTTCCTTCTCTGAAACAAATGGAGGGAGGAAGAGAGAGAGAGAGAGAAAATAGAGAGAAGAGAGAGCCACATCGTCTGTTGTTTTCATCTTCTTCTATACTCTCCAATTTCCCTCTCTTCTCTGCTCTCATCGCCTTCACCATAGCTCAATCCACCAAGTTCTTCACCTCCCGGTACACGTTCCCGTCATGTGCCGATTTGATGAACCAATGAAGAAGAAGATAGGTTGAAATTGAAAATTTGTACAAAAAAAAGTGATAAAACTTCAAAACTGTAATTGGGTTGTGTGCTTTATAAATGTTTGTTAGTAAAGTAGTTTAATTTGAAGAAACCTTACATGAATGTGATTGATATCATCGAAGATAGTGATCTGCTGTATTTGGTTGGTTTTGATGTTTGTTCGTGAAGTTCTAAATTTTTTTGATTTTTCCTCTCCTCTATCTCTCTCTTTCTTCCCCGATCTGTATGGATCTATGTGTGTATACGCAGATCTGTATAGATCTGCGTATTGATTTTGATTTTGGGTGTTATGGTCGTGGAGCAGAAAATACAGAGAAGAAGAAGGGTGGTGGAGCAGATCTATCTATAGAAGAAGACGAAGACAGATCTACACAGAGGAAGACAGAGGAAGAAGAAGAACAAAAAAAAAAAAAAAAAAAATGGTGCCAAAACGACGTCGTTCGTTTTAACACCTCAAGCCATTCGAGCTTCGATGGATAGCGGGACTGTTTAGTAGACTAAGATATTTGTTCTTGGGAAGAAGTTCGATTTTTTTATAGTTAGATGTAATGTTTGTGACAGGAAAAGTGAAATGATTATGGGTTTAATATAACATTTTGTTATATTAGCTATTTTAGCCTATTTTGTCTTTTTGTGAATTTTAGCCCAAAAGCTAAAAAAATCCTTTGCCATAAATCCATAAATCAAATAAGATTTACAAACTTCCATATACACCTCTGCATTCTCACGACAATATGCATTTCAAATTGTAGGTGTTTTGATCATATTTATTTTTCCCGTCTGAAATTTAATTTGGAATAATGGACTACGAACTGCCCTTCTCATCAAAATGAGAACCAAGGAAATTAGGGAACTAACTACAAGGTTTGAGAGGGAATTGGTAGTTTTATGACAAATAATATTTCACATACTCAAGTGTAAATAAGAACTGAATTCAATTCACAAAGAACACATAATTTGAAAAATAAACTAGCAACTCAAGTTAATGATAAATAGATAACCATCTGTATTCATCCTCCAAAACATGGAGTTTAGGAGCATGCATAAATATGTCAAAAGAAAAACCAAAGGGTTCTCAAGTCTTTCACTTGTCACAAACATGAATTGGCACTGGAAATCACAAACATGACCTCAAACACCCAACAACATGAAGTAACAATGACTAAGATGAACAATGAAGCGTAAAGAACAAAAGGATGTAAATAAAAATTCTAAGACCACATAACCAAAACAGAACGTATGAGTGATTAAATTGATGGATCGGGTTTTCATCACCTATTTCTGGAAATTCTTCATCTAATCTTCAATTTCCTCCCAATTTCCAATCCAGTAATTTTAGAAAAATTAATAATAAATTAACCATCAAATCAAGTCTGCGACTCAGTCTTCCTCCCGGCATCTTCCACTTCTCTCTCCACCAACAACCTCCCAGCCTCCTCATCCAGCTGAGCCGCCTTCTTCTGAGCCTCCTTGGCCTTAAGCGCCTGCAACTTGGAATGGTTGTAATATCCAACACCCAAGAATGCAATCCCATATCCAGCCAAATTAATGGGCGTAACAGTGTCCTTAATCACAGACCACGAAAATGCAATCAACAACCAATCCTTGACAACCCCAGCCACATTCATAGTCAAAGCCGAAGTCTTCCCCACAAGCAAAAACACCGCCAAATTGAGGGCGAAAGCGCAGAGCGAATTGGTCCCAAAAATCAAGAAATCAAAATGGAAGCTGGAAGTCTCCCTCAACAAAGGGAACTCCACAATAAACCAAGGGACAGACAAGAAAGCCAAGCAACAAGGAGCAACATAATAAAGCGAAGTAATAGGATTCAAACTAATACCCTTTGAAGTCAAGAGGATTTGAATCATTACCAATCGAGTGGCCTCGAAAACCACAGCGCCGAGCTGCAACATGACACCCCATGCGTCGAACCTGGCCTCCCCGTATGCCGCTATGGCAACACCGATCGAGATGGAGACCATGTTGGCCATGGTATCAGATTTGAAAGCATCTTTCTTGAAGAGAACACCGAGGGAATAGACAGCGACAGGCATGAGGGCTTTGAGCATCTGAATGAAGGAAACAGAGAGGTATATGTAGGCTGAGTTGGAGAACCAGAGAGAGAGGGAATAGAGAGCACCGATGGGGACGACGGAGCGGAGATAGAGATCGCTAGACATGGAGACTGGTTCGACGACTTTGAAGACGCGGATGAGGAGGAAAGCCAGGGAAGAACAGAAGGCCATGTGGATCATGGTCAGGGAGATCGGGTATGGCCAATTGAACATCTTGCGATCGAGGATGTACTTGTTGAAGACGATGACGGTGAAGCTCAGGAAGATCCATATCCCTACGTAGGCGTAGGAGAGGAGGATCTTCTTCACTACGCCCTCGCTTAAAGCTCCGCCTTTGCCCATGGCGATGATCCAAACCCTAACCCTAATTTCGCAAAAACTAGGATTTCAGTTTTTGGTGAAGACTCTCTCAGATCATCATCATCAGAAGATGAAGAGAGTTACTAGACTCTTGTTTCTACGAGATTAGGCAGGAGTGGTGGTGGCGGAGGATTGTTAGACTAATGGGAGAGAGGTGTTAGATTTAAGTGGTTGTATACTAGTAAAAGATAATGACATGTTTGACTTGGCAAGTTTATCTTCCCTAAATTACAATATAGTCCTTTAATCAAAACTTATTTGCACTTTCTTCTCTTAAACTTTAAAATGTAATAGTTAACTACTTTGGATTATAATCTTATTACACTTAACACCTTTTATTAGGATTTTATTCCAAAATTTAAACAGAATTAGGTTATGTATGAAACACATGACACACTTATTCATTTTTTAGCATAATAATGCCTAATAATGATTTTTTGATGACAATAATACCCTTATGTAATCTCATTTGTATTTTAGAGCATTTCCAACGGTTTGTTTAAAAAGTTGCTAAAGGCAAAATATAGCAAATATGGAAAAATATGGTGCTCTAACAGTCTATTATTCGAGCTGCTAAAAATAACAATTGTTATCTCTTTTCTCAAATTTGACACAAGTTTTATTTATAATTAAAGTTGCAAGCACAACAATATTGTAATGCCCCAAATTAAGAACAATAAACCACCTCACGATATTCAATAGAAAGTAGAAACTTACCAGATGTTAACCTTTCATTAATCCCCTTAAACAGTACAAAAGATGACCTACGCATGTATACATTTAGATCCTGAATCTATAGCATATGACATATGGAAATAACATGAATCAAAGAAAGTACAAATAAGTTTATGCTATAATGACTACATCTTTCTAAGTCGATATTTGGGAACAACAAAATGAGTCAAACTCTCTCTCTCTCTCTCTCTCTATATATATATATATATAGCCCAAGGCTTGTACAACAAATATTTATGCAAAAGAACAAAAAGAAGCTCTCGGTTTTGAGGTTTCCCTAACCTACTTCCTTGGTAGAGACATATCATCAACACCTGAAAGTTATTTTTCACATATGATAAACTAAAGCCCATTAAAGATACTTGAACACAAAGTATGAAGCTTAACAAAGTTATATGGTAAATGTACATGTATGTTGTCACCAAAACGTTATATTTTTTCTTTCAAAACAATGCAATGCCATAGTTATATATATCAATTCATAAAGCAATCCCTTTTTAAATAAAAAAAAAGGGCAGTGGATACATAACACTGGGAATCTTTAAGTACATGTCTGCCAATAGGTTATATAAGCTCTACCAAAGCCATTTTACCGGTATTAACTAGAAGGATCGACACCTAACTGCATGAGTTTCTAGACTTTTACCAAGGACACACATGCCAACGTAATAAAAGCATAATCACACCCTCTAACTAGATTTACCAAGGCATTCATTAATTTTTCTTAAAGACAATACATTTTCGATGTAAGGATACAAAACAATGTTCAATGCCATAAGTATGAGTAAATGGTTTTCATTTAACCTATTATTTATGCAATTTCTACAACAATTAATCTATCCTCCACCGATAGCTCAAAACAGATCTTTATACAAAAGATAAATTTCCAACAACAAACACAATCTCATAATTTCAATATAGGAGTGATATTACATACTCATCTCCACTCTTATCATCAACATTTATATATCTATATATTATTTCAAAACTCAACCCTTTGTTTCTTAGTTTCAAGAAATTCAAAGATTTCTAACCAAAAATCTATACTTTTCAATAGTACTTTTAGAAAAGAAATTTCCAAGATTTCAATACAAATCCACAACATCTCTCATGAATCCATTTGAAAACCCTCATGTTTCATTCCCAAAATCAAACCAAATCAAACCCAAAATCCAAACCCATAACTTTCAAATAACTATACCTATCAAATACACACAACATAGACAAGAATCATACAGACAGGTTGAAGAAATCTCTACCTCAAGACTAGAAGAGTTGATGAACAAGACCCAAGATTTGATAAAGCCGAAACTTTAACTTGCTTTGATCAAAATGACCATCTTTACATGCTCTACACTATTCTCCGAAGTACTATGGTGGAGAAATCAATGGATTTGGGTATATAGAAGTTTTTAAACAAGAACTTAGAGAGAGAGAGAGAAGAAATTAGGTTTGGGAATGTTTTAGAGAGAGAGAGAGAGTGATTAAATAGTGACATAAAATGACTTTTCCCTGATTTGATATATGCACAGACTGCTCGAGCGACCAAAACACTGCTCGATCATAAGACACAAAAATGAAAGATCACTCGAGCGACCAAAACACGGCTCGAGCGCATAATAACCCTCTCCTAGAAGTTTTGCAGACTGTAGAACACTGTTCAAGCGAAGAAAGAACCATTCGAATGAGATCACTCTACTCCTAGTGCTTTTGCAAACCTACAAAAGTACTGTGAGAACCCAAAGACCGCTCGAGCGACCGAGCAAACAAGAAAAGAAACAGACAGTAATTATTTTGAAAAACTAACTACCAACCTATTCAAGACACAACCAACAACTCCAAACAACCAAACCCAAATAACTAGGAGTATATATAACGATAAAGAGTATCAGATCCTAGATCCAAGAACATGAAAGGGTCGGGTCTAACCTGAGCCGTTATAAATATTGTCTAAAAATATTGTTCATCTTCTTCCTAACAGACACACCAATTGTTTGGTTGGTTGTCTCATTAATGATCATACAACAGACGCCGATTGTTCAACTGGTTGTCCTTATTAGCAGGACATCCAACCACCTTGTGTAATATCTAGAGGGAAAAGCTAAAACTAGCAATTTGACCATTGGAGCAATATTACTATCCTATAGCTATTTTACATTGTTCATTGTTAAATTATAGTTTTAGCTATTCATTTTAGCTATGAACTATTGGAGATGCTTTTATTTCACTATTTTAATGACTAAGTGCAAATGGGATCAACAGATAAGGGCATTATTGCCTTGAAATTTAATAAATGTATTATATATTTAACGAATGATTTGATTTTGTCTAAATTTTTAACAGAATCCTAACAAAAGAAGTCTTTAAAGGGTTAACTTTTGAATTTTGAAATTCAATGAAGCAACTGAGTTCTAATCAAACTACAAGCTGAATTGTAACGCCCCAATATTCATAACCTATTTTATAATTACCAATCCATTTTTAATTATCCAATTTCATAATATAAGTGTGAATAAAGAAAATAAAATACATAATCTTATAAGACAAAATATGTTTCTTTCTCATAAGATTTCCTTATAATTACATCATTGGATTAATTTGCAAATCCCCCAAAGGATTTTCATAAAAACTATATACCAAAATGATAGAGAGATACAATAAAAGTGCCTTAAGGGCTTACACCTTTCAAGGCTATGGCCTTGATTATAACAAATTATAATCTTATCTCAAACAAGTAAGCTCAATAGCTATTAACAAGTGATCATCAAGAAGAGCTCCTGTGCCTAGTACAGTCTTCGCTAATTGTCACAATATAGAAGTACATTATCAGCACAACCTGCAAATTTGAATATCCAATCCAATAGGAAGTGAGTGTTGCCGCCCAATAGAAATAATCTTAACAATTTAAATATCTTTGTTTCTTGTGATCATGCTCATGCAATGCACAAAACCAATATGTAACTTCTTTAAAAATTTAAAGAATGTTGACTCAGTTACTTGGACATTTGTTAAACCTTTAAAATCCCATTTTTGAAATAAAGTCCATAACATGTATTTCAATATACTCCCATATTTACCGGCCATTGAGCATGGAAGAACAATTGGGCACCTATCATAACTTTCCAACATCACTCCCACATTTATCGGCCATCGAGCATAGAAAGGCAATTGGGCACCTTGAAAACATCATTTCCCACATTCGTCCGGCATCAAGCCCGAGACAAGGCAATTGGGTACCTTTCACATTTCCTAAACCATCTCCACATTTATCGGTATCAAGTATGTAGGGGCAATTGGACACCCACTTCATTTTGAAAACAATTCCACATTTACTGATATCAAGCACGAAGGGGCAATTGGACACCCAACAATATCCCCCACATATTATCTAGCATCAAGCCTATGATAATTGGGCACACAATCATAGTTTTCAACAATTCCCCCACATTTGTCGGCTTTATATGACAGGGCGATGGGCACCTAAAATAGACATTGATTCCCAAAATATTTTTCCAAAAACCTTGTATCCCATTGAAGATTCGACACTGGTCCAAAACCGTGCAAATGCAATGTTATGCATGAAGTGCAACTATTATCATTGTTTAAATAATAAATTACAATATAATTCTCTCAACAATGGATAAAACATTAATTAAATAATAACGCAGCATATTACTAAAATCCACATAACTATTATTATCATCCATAACTTATTGTTTCCAAACATTTCTCCAATCATTAATATCAATCCCTTCTGTTCTTCATTCCAACTCTTTATCACTTCCCATTGATGAAACATTATGTGTTTGGCATGGAGTTTCAAACATGATTCCACACTCATATTTGAGTGTGGTGTTTGGATACAACTTTCAAAAATCGATTCCACACCTACTGGCTAAAACATGTCTACCCTATCATCTTCCCAAACGATCCCTCGGACGTCCGGAACAGTGTTCGTGTTTTTATTTTTTATTTTTTTATATTTTAAATAAAAAATATTTTTGGATTTTTTTAAATTTTTTTTATGAACTTTGAATAGAATTTTGAGTTATTTGTTTAGTTATGAGTTGTAAATTTTTGAATCAAATATCATGTGTCACATCAAAAATTTTAAACTCAATTCAAAACTCATAATCAAACAAATTTTCCACATTCAAATCATAATTCCAAACCTCACAAACTCAAAATACAACTCTATTATCAAATCATAATTCTAAAACTCTACCAAACACTACCAATTTCATTTCAAAGTTCTCAACTCTTCTCATGTTCAATAGAAATTTTCAATATAAATATGAAGATCTAATTACTTAACAGTTCTTTGAGTTTCCAAAACAATCATAACTCAAGTTTCACAATAACCATCAATTTATTTCAAAACCTTTTTTTAAATCAACATTTCCAACTTAGGGTTTTTTT